AAAAAAAAAAAAAAAAAAATGCACTGGAGATTTTTCTTTCCATTTCAGCTAAGCAGAAAAAAATAAACCCTTACCTCCTAACTGCTGCCCTAACAGGAAAGTGTCAGCACTGAGGCAAGCACAAGACTCTATTAGGAGACTCTCTGCAGGAGAAGGGTTGATGGTCCAGCTAAACTTTAGCAAGATGAAAGCCCCTTCAAAAGTCACTTCACAAGCCTATTGGTGGTCCACGCCTATAATTCTAGCTACTCAAGGGGCTGAGATTCAGAGGAAATAGTTCAAGGTCAGCTGGGGCAGAAAAGTCTGAGAGACTCCATCTCCAATTAACTAGCAAAAAACTGGGCTGGAGGCCTGGCTGCAGTGTGAGAGACCCACTTGAGCAAGCAAGCAGAGTGAACACAAGGCCCTGAGTTCAAATCTCAGTACCAAGAAAAAATAAAGTTATTCTCATTAGAAGCTGGGTGCAGTGAGACACACCTGTCATCCCAGCTATGAGGGGATAGAAAGAACACAGTCTAGACCAAAATAACCAAAAAGGCTGGAGGGCCTAGCTCAAGTGGTAGAGAACCTTCCCAGCAAATAGGAGGCCCAGCGTTGAACCCCACTCCCATCAAATAAAGAAACTTTGGAATTTGCTTCCCTGTGGCATGGGGTGGGAATGAGAGGGCTTGGTCCTCTCCCGGGTGCAGGCCTCCCCGCTTCCCCCCTCCCCCTCCCCCCCATCCTCCCTTCCCCACAGCTGAGCTGCCAGGACTTCCTGTCTGCAGAACCTGCTCCACAGAGGAAGGTCAGCAAGCCCCTGGTCAGGAAAGGAAGATGCTTTCTGGGGTTGTGCTTATGATCTGTAAATCACTGTGTGCTTTGGAGACCACATCAGACCAGGGGCCTATGCTCTTCCTAGGCTCCCATGGCTTCTTTCTGATGCCAGAGCTCTTTCTGAATAACAAAGCTGCTTTTGCTCTGTGGTCTGAAAATGTTCAGGGATTCCTCCACTGCATCCTAGGTAAGATAACAGAAGTTCCTGCAGTATTTACATATTTTGTTTGGCTTGGTTGCCACAGTGTCTTGACATGTAGCCCAAGCTGGCCACAAATGCCATACCTCCCGCATTACCTCCCAAGTGCTGAGATTACAGAAATATACCACCAATCCCAGCCTCCAAATTTAACCTATTTAGCAGCCTGCCTTGCGGTAACTCTCTTCCCTCCCTTTCCAGCCTTCCACCAACCATCCCGATGCTGACATCTCCAAAGAGATGGCCAGTGGCTTCCTTTGCAGATGCTGTTCCTCCCATTCAGAATACCTGTCAAACTCCTATTTATGCTTGAACACCCATCCCGTGAAGCCCTCTTCTCTGTAATACATGCCCTCCTCAGTGTACCCCAGGACATCTGAAAGAATCTCTGTTACTGAGGACATCTGTGTGAAATGATACATTTGCATATCTGTATCTGAGACTAAGTTAACAACTATTTTGACAATCATTTCTTTGCCATTTTGGAAAGCATTAAAATCTGAAATGATCACAGGGTCAATAAAGAACTTCTTATCATTAGACTGCTCTTTGCAACTTAAAATAGTCAGGGGTCTCAGGATAGACAGAACATCCATTTTTAGCCTTTGGGACAAGAAGAGGAGAGGGGAGAAGACAGGAGCCCCACACACTGGCTGCTGCATTCCTATACACCCATCTGCCACCTGCTCTGGCCAGACTCCTGTTTAAACTGAAGATGTGTGCTAGCCGATATAATAAATGCATCTTTTCACAGCATTCCAGGCAGGAGAATGCAAGATAGCATTCTCTTCGTAATCTGATGGTGGTTGTTCTAGAACAGAAAGGCTCCCTCTAAAGTTCCAGCCGAGGCTCAGAGAGGTGAAGTGAATTACCCAGGGTCACACAGCTGCATGGTGGTTAATGCCAGGAACTAGACAGAGGACTTCTGATTTGAAGCCCAACGTGCTGTTAACACTACACTGCCTCTGATCAGCTTAAACAGCCTGTTGGGCAAATCCATGGGAGAAAACTTCATTTCTAGAAAAGAATGCAAGTTTACTAGTCCATCGTGTGGGTCTTCAAATGTCCATTTTCCCAAATTGTGGTCTCTGGAGTCTTAGCAGTATTCAAAAGAACTACGATCCATGGGGACTAAACGTCTGGGAATCTAGCTGCTTATAAAACCTGTGGAATATATTCACAATGAAATTCTATGCTTCCATCAGAACGGCACTGCCCCATTCATAAGGAAATGGAAAGACTTGGAAAAAAATTACACTAAGCGGCGTAAGCCAGACCCAAAGAAACATAGGCCGCATGGTTTCCCTCATTTGTAATAACTAGAATGTGCCTATAAATCTTCAAGTTAACCCAATAAATAATAAAGGACAAATAATTACACTTGGACGTGATTAATTAAACAGTAGTCTATACATTCACACAGTGAGAACAAAGGAGGTTATTCTTAGGAGAGGATCCCAAGGGCTCAATAGCTATGTGCAGATGATCATATAAAATGATGCTTATCAAAATAAACTCCAAAAAAATGGAAGAGGTTTCTTATTATACTGTTTGTAGATCTTTTTGTTGCTGTTGTTCTTTTTTCTTTGGTTTATTCCCTTCTGTCACTGTTTTTTATTTTGTACCATTTGATTTGAGGAGGGGAAGGGGAAGCCCAGAAATGATGGACAAAGGGTGAACCTATTCAGCAGGGAAACTCACTAGACACTATGTCGGAAATGAACTATACAGCTTTGGGGGAAGGGAGATGGGAGGGGAAAATCTGGGAGAAAATGAGGGACGGGGGGTAACACTGTTCAAAGGAAATGTACTCATAACCTGACTCATGTAACTGTAACCCCTCTGTACATCACCTTTACGATAACAGTTTAAAAAATAGTGTTAAAGTGAGAGCTTTCTCTGTCTGCAAATGTGGAGTCAGGCAAGGGTACAGATGCCAGGTGCACGTGGCTAACCAGAGGGCTGGATTCTTGCTTTTGACGTGGTAGGCATCCAGGAGGCTGAAGCCAGTTAAATCTGCCCAGTTAGTTCTGCACTGGGACAACTCAGCAATGTGGACAGAGTATACACAATATAGGATCCACGGATGGGGGCACCAAAGTTCTTTTCAGAACTGAAAGACCAATGGGGGAGCTGGGAAACTCGGCCTAGGGCAGAGGCTGTGGGGGAAGGGCAGCAAGGGAGTCACAGAAGAGATGGGAAGACTCAAGGGGGGTTGGAGTGATCTGGAGTCACCAACACCCAGCACCTCTCTCGCCGCTGCTTGATGAACATTTGTTGAAGGAGGGAACTGCTATAGTGGGAGGAGATGACAGATAAAAGAGTGAGGGCTGCCAGGCCTAATGCAAAGGATTGCTAGCATGTGAAAGCAATAGGGAAACACGTGTGTCTGATCCTTTGAATCCCACTGATGTGAGACTTCAATGAAACATAAGCTTTATGAACAAGATACAGTATGAAATTAACCCAAACATCACCTACGATGTCTACAAGGTAGTGGGGGGAGGGGAGGAGGGACACAAAAGGGTGAAGATTTTGGCCCAGCAATGCATTATGCTCAAAAACAAATGAAACACCAAGATGGAAGGAAGCTTTCCCTGCAATCAAAGCACGTTCTAGTCACTCTCTCAATGCAGCCCAGAAGTTCTAACAACCACATGCGCATGCACATGCCTACGCAAGGGTTCAGGTCAGGAAAAGAACATGTCCAACTGTATTCATCTCAAGACACACACACATACATACACCACACACACACACACACACACACACACACACACTGCCCAGCCCTCCCCAGAAAGACACACACACATACATACACCACACACACACACACACACACACACACACACTGCCCAGCCCTCCCCAGACAGAGAGACTCAAGGACTTACCAAATACAATATTGAGAAATGGACAATCTCTGGGCCCTGGTGGCTCACACTTGTAATCATAGCTACTGGGAAGGCTAAGATTGGAGGACTGAGGTTCAAAGTCAGCCTCAGGCAGGCAAAAAGTCAGAACTTGAAGCATGTCTCAACTGGTAGCACACCAGCCATGAATGAAAAAAAAAAAGAAAAGGAAAAACAGGCAAGAGTACAAGACCCTGAGTTCAAGCCCAAGTACTGGCATGTACATACATACATACACATGCATAGGCATGCATGCACACACATACATACACATGCATAGGCATGCATATACATACATACATACACATTCATAGGCATGCATACACATACATACATACATATGCATAGGCAAGCATACACATACATACACATACATACATACACATGCATAGACAAGTATACACATACATACATACACATGCATAGGCATGCATACACATACATACATACACATGCATAGGCAAGCATACACATACATACATACACATGCATAGGCATGCATACACATGCATAGGCATGCCCACACAAGTTGATTATCAAGCTACAAATGTATAAGACTCAAAATACCAATATACAAGACTACAAATACCCTCCCCTCCATGTAACTCTAGATGGCCTTTACCCAGGCGAGAACAGGCAATCTAAGAGTAGACATCACAGATGTCACCCGCAGCTCCTTCCCCTCCTTGCTTTCTGAGGACCTCTTCATCTCGCACCGTGACTTAAAAGAATACAACCACAAACACTTCAGATGCCCTGGATCGCTGCTCAGCAGGCAAACAAGAATAGCCTTTTAATCAGAGAGAAGCATAATGAAAAGAAAACAGCCCTCCATCCTGTCATCTGCGAAAGGGAAGGAGTGAGGTTTAGAGTTCCCACTTCTGCACCATTCTTCCGTCTTGTCCTCTTGTGCCTTCCAGTGCTGTCAGTTACAGAACAGCTTGGAGAGCTCACCACACATTCCAGAAAAAAAAAAAAAGCCAACGTTACCCACACTGCTTAAACCAGCTTCCCACTTGGAGGTTACGTCAACACTGCTCTCCTTTGGGCGATCTTCTACCCAGGAACATCTTCCTCCACCCACTAAGAAGTGGCCACACACAAGCTGGACCAGTCTGGCAAGGCTACAGGGCCAGGCAGCTCTGCTTAGCTGCTCATGCACAGCCCTCCACCAGCTTTTGCTTGCTCCCCAATTGTCACTTTGTAGTGACTTCCCCTTCCCCCTTCCATGGAAAAAAAATAATAACTTCCTCTTGAAGTTTCTGACTATGTGATTTTACACACTTTTGGAGGGTGCACAACACAGGATGAATTCTGACACTAAAGCAGAATAAAATCATGAGAGATCAACAATCATACTTCTATGAAACCAAGCAGCTGAGTCAGTTCCACCAGTGTTCTGAGAGACTGAATAATCACTTCCAGACAGGATGCTGGGCTCTAAGCATCTTCCTCACTCTGTGATGTCCTGGGCCATGGATGCTAGCCTCTGGCTGGCTGGGTGTGGCTCTGAGAGGGGCGGGGCCTCTCGGTGTGCAGCTAGTCCAGCACAAAGGTGTCTGGAGGAGCTGGACCACATCTGCATGGAAGACCATGGGGTCCAGGGGCCGGCGAAGCAAGGTCCCTCACCTCTCAGCAAGAAAGCAGGGATGTGTCACAGCAGTTCTCAAAGGAAAATAGCTTCCAATCCATGGACACTAGAACCTTCCTCAGTTCTTCAGGCCAGAGAAGGGCCATGGAAAGAGAGGAAAGCATGAAGCCAGTTCACCCCTTCATCTGATCAGTGCTAGCTGGGGTATCATCAGCTCTCCTGCTTCAACCATTTATCCCATGAGTATATTTTCTTGTGAGGTCTTCATGTTTTTAAATATCTCCCTATCATTCAGATTTCCTTCTGAAACATCTGTCCCCAATCTGGGTGGGTTTTTTTTTTTGCTTTGTTTACAGAGTGTTATCATTCAGAAGGTTTGGCTCTTGTGTTCTGGGGGTTCTCCCTCCCCTTTGTTCCGTCTCTTCTGACTCCAGAAGAGAAACTACTGGAAGACAGATCTAATTTTCTAGACAGAAGGTGTGTGTGTGCATGGAAAGGCAGATGACAGTCAACTTTGCATCAACTACTTAAAAGATTTAGCAAGTCCAAGAGAATATTGTAAGTCTCGGAAGTCAATGGAGTTAAAGGAAGGAGCTGAGACCGTTAGAGCTCTTTTGGCCACTGGATTTGTCAGCACAGAATGAGACAGGCAGACAAAGTGTCTCTGAATTGCACAACTGCTTCATCTCTGCTTATTTCCCTTTCTCCTTATCATATCTTGACACTGAATTCTAAAAAACCATGTTTTACCCTATTTTTCACTGCATTCTCAGGGACATTCTGCTTTGTAGAACTTTCTAGAGCAATATTTTACCCTCTTATTGTCCATTGTAGGGGAAATTGGTGGACCCAAGGGGTAGTGCTGCCAATTTTAATTAAAACTTCTTTTCTTTTCCTTCTTTTTTTTTGGGGGGGGGGGAGGGAGTATGAATGGTAGTGCTATCTGTCAATACCAGCACTCAGGAGACTGAGGCGGGAGGATTGTGAGCTCAAAACCAGGTTGGGCTGAATAGAAAGAACCTGTCCTTCTCCTACAGAAAAAAAAAAAAGTAAAACCCCAATTAAAACTTGTAAGGCCCTAAATGACTTGCTGTGTTCTACATACTTGAGTCACTAGATTCCTGTAGTCTTTTTATTTTTTATTTGTATATGACAGTATTAAAGCTTGAACCCCGGGCCTCATGTTCTCAACTCTTGGCTTGAGTCACATTTCCAGTCCACTATTTTGCTGGTTAATTGAATATGGAATCCTGTGAAGATTTTTGTCCAGTCTGGCTTTCAGTTGCAAACCTCAGATCTCAGCTCCTTGAGTATCTATGATTATAGGGATGAGCGACCAGTACCTGGTACAGTCTTTTAACTATGCATTAAAATGAAATTTCTCCCTGGAGATATATATGAACATTACTTAGAGGATATGTTTTTTTACTCCTGACCACTGGGACATATTCCCAGGCTGAAAGTCATGTCCATTAGAAAACCCTCCTTCCACCAAGCGTTCTAGGATTCTTCCTAGATCTAATCAACCTCTCTGGATTTAGAGATGAAGAAACTGAAGTCTTGGGGCCCCCGTGACCTCATGATACTAACCACTAAACTACTACTGGTCAGGTTCCAGATCCAGGGCGACTTCCTTCCAGGCACCCACCCAGCTCTGCCTGACAGTTCATCTTATCCAATGGGAAGGCAGCTCTTCCAACAGCCTGTGGATCAAAGAAGCACCTTCAGAGCTAGAATGGCAAGGCCATGATTTTTTAAGGCTCTCAAACAACATTTAACTTTCTATCAACTAATATAAAATCAGCATTTGCTTTCAAATACTCAAGTTACAGCAGATACGTGGCTCTGGCTTGTATCCATGTTCAGGTCAAAGGCAGCTCAAGGCCACACAGAGAAAGCAGAAGCAGGCTTGTGAGAACTTGACAAAGATGTCATCTGCTTGCATGGCTTACAGCCTTTTACCCGATTTCTAGGGAACTAGGGAAACTAGGACCTTCTAACATAAGGAACTAGGAAGTGTTTATGCTGATCAACATGATGGCTATGCCACCATGAGAGAGTTCTAGGCCCAGTCACAATGTAGGTCTGGTATCATAGTTGCTGTAAACTTAAGGGTCTATCTTAGGGGTCATCAGTCCAGTCCTGGAATATCCAGCCTCTCAGAAAGTCAGCATATTCCCTGAACACTACCGAGGAACAAATAATGTACAGAAAGTTAAAACAGAGGAAGGCAGCCAGCACAAAGAATGTGTTATTTGAAGACCGAAGGAAGAAGAAAGAAAGTTTGTGTGTATGGATAGTTAACAGGGCAAATGTCTGAGACTTGTTAGCTATTGATGGCCTTTGTCAATCTCAGGGCGATAAGATAAGCCACAGAAATACTAGCTAGGTAATTTCACATTTCTGGGTAAAATTGGAGAACTAGTCATCAGTGAATTTGTACACACCCACTAGTAATGGTGAGACTCTGTGTGTGTGTGTGTGTGTGTGTGTGTGTGTGTGTATTAAATGAAGAGGCAGTCAGAAAGTAGAAAAGAAAAGGGTAAAAAAAAATTGACACTGTGGAATTTGAATGTGAAGACCTGGGACAGATAATTTCCCTGTAAGACAACAATTATTAATTGTATTGTACAGATCAAAATACTTAAGTGTCAGAGAAATTAAGAATCTGTTTGGGCTCTCCCAGCTGGCATGTGGTAACAGGACTTCCTACCCAGATCTCTTTCTACCACAAAACCTTTATTCTTTCTGATGTTTCTGACACTCAGAAGGCCTTGAATGAAGATTTGTTGAATGATCAAACACAGGAATTTCTCAAAATATTTGCCTTTTTCTTTTCTTTGAGATCATGAAAGTTGAACTCACTGCCTGGTTTAAAAAAAAAAAAGAAATCAATGGTGCTCCAGACATGCTGTATGGTTAAATAAAATTGTACGTTTTAATCATCTGTCAGGGATGGGGATATAACTCAGATGTAGAGCATAGGCTTTGTATGAGCAAGGCCTTGGGTTCGATCTCCAGTGATGCAAAAATAAAACGAAATAAAAATAAACAAGTAAACCATCTATCAATGAATGAAGAGCCAATCAAAGCTATAATGTAAAGAATTCTGGTTGATATCTTCTACCAAACAAAAGTAAGTGGATTGGTACATTGGGACCTAATTGTATGATCTAGTCCTTGTATGGCAGCTCTTAGCTAATACCTACTGAGTCACCATTTCATCAATCACATAACCCCCTGGCATCACCTCCTCAAAGACTTAATTGTACTGTCTAAAGCTGGATATCATTAAGTAGCTCATACCTATAACTGTAGCTACCCAGTAGGCTGAGATCTTTGGACTATATCATAGTTCAAACCTGGCACCATCTCACGGACTTTCAGGAAAGTCCATGAGACTCTTATTTCTAATTAATCACCAAAAAACTGGAAGTGGAATTGTGGCAGAGCACCAGCCTTGAGCAACAAGGCTAAGGACAGCATCAAGACCCTGAGTTCAAGCCCCAGTCCTGGCACAAAAAGGAAGGAAGGAAGGAAGGAAGGAAGGAAGGAAGGAAGGAAGGAAGGAAGGAAGGAAGGAAGGAGGAAGGAAGGAAGGAAGGAAGGAAGGAAGGAAGGAAGGAGGAAGGAAGGAAGGAAGGAAGGAAGGAATCTTGATCTAATTTTACACAAATTGCTACACTGACCTAAAGAAAGAAACTCCCAAAACAACTAGGCTGGAGTTCAGAAAAATGATAAGAAAGAAGTTGGTATTCTAGTCATATACAGCCAAATTGCTAAACAGATCTTAAGTATTCATAATTCCAGAGGATTCTACAAACATAATTCCAGATTCCCAAGATGAGAGGTACACAATTATCCCAGAGCGCAGACAGACATGTTTATGGTGCTCTATGTCATAGGTGATTTTATTATATGTGCTGCCACATTGGCTTCAAACAGCATAGAAGAGCTCGGCTGAAGATAGCAATTGAACTGGTCTTTCCTGGCAGATTCTTACTTCATATAGATCCAATAAGCAGAGATTTGGAATCTTAGCAAGGGATAGTCTACATGGCAAACATAATAATTCCTTCCTAGGGCCTATACAGGGTACCCAGGAGAAGTGGAAGAGAAGAGATAGGAGATGCTGAACTCACACACACACACACACACACACACACACACACACACACACCTTCAAGAAGCTAGCCAAGAAATCATCACAATACCAGAGATAAAACTTCAGAAGGGTTGTTGGAATGACTCCTACAGAAACTTGGTGCTCCTAATTGAGTCTTTAACTTCATTTAACAAATACGTTTCAATGTAACAAACAGCCCAGGGATGCTAGCAGAATCAAAGATGGGCAGTGTGACAATAACAGTGAGCCGCTGGCTATCTTTGGGAAATTATAGACAACCAATATAAAACCTGAGTCAGACCAGGAAGTACTGCATACCTTCAATACCACAGCTAAGTGCCTGGTCATCCTGAATATG